CGGTTTTCGTCGATTACGTCGGTTTTGTGTAGTATCTCGACGAGTTCCTTCCACAATCTTCCTCCACACACGTCTTTGTAATATGGGTTATGGTCAAAAGTCTACCTTCGTCTATTTTGTGTGTGAGGTTAGTTCGATTTTGGTTTCACATATATCCTTCTTTTCAATCTAGAATAAAAATTGATTTTGGCGTTGTTCGTTTGTCTTGACAGAACCAATCACATATATTTTATCGAGTTTTATCTTTTGGAAGGACTAAAGGTAAAGTCATGCTTCCGTTTTCACATAAGCCTCTGTTACCTATATCATTTGGGACACACCATTCAAAACCTTGCGAATCTGATCCATGTTGACTGGAGCAACAAGGGTAGAGGCTTCTGGATGAAAGATTTCCCCTTGAAGAATGATGAGAAAAATCCACCGAAAGGTTATGGATTTGCATCTCATCTTATCGATTACTTCACTGTTCTTAAGTAGCCGTAGTTGTAGTGTCAATGATGCCTTCTTCAATATGTCTGAATGTTCCAATTCTTTGGTACTTTCTATTTCTCTAAAATCAATGTTTTTCTTTTTTTTGTCTCAATGAGGTTAAGAGGTTGGTGGAGGAGAAACCATGTAAAAAAAAAAAGAGAAACAAAGCGGAGAAACAGGGATGAAGAGGTTGGTACTACCGATCCCATTGCCGCCAAAGTTCTCACATTTTTTCTACAACGTGTAAGACAACATCACACCTCTTCTTGTTCCCAAGATTAAATGAAAATGTTTCTCTAGCACCGTAGCTCTTTAAAATGAGGCTCAAGCAAAGGTGGTCAATGCTCTAAAAGTTAGTTGAGAGGACGCGTGGTAGAAAAACGAGGGTCTGTGGTTTTCTTACTATACTTACAGCTTGTTTTTATACGCTTTTTCCTTTACGTAGTTAGTGGGTGGGGAGAACTGTTTTGACTAAAAGCAACGTTGCTTTTCTTTTCTCTTTGATTTGAGAATTGTCTCTGCATATTAGTTTTGGTAGTTATCTCCTTCTCAAATTTACAATTTAAAGATGAAGAATATTCCTCGAAGAATTACGATGCAGTATATGTTATTCAAAAGATGGTATGTCTATCTATGCTTCCGCTAAATTCATGGTCACTTACTTGGTGATCTTATTGATATGATATTTGTATTAATTTTGACGTGTACTAAATACTAACTATCAAGTCTGATCTCTTTGTACTAAGAACCTTTTAAATGTTGCTCCTATCTCAAGTTGCCAACTCTAAACATACGTAAATTCCCCTATTTTTTCTAGCCTTATTAGTATCCATTTTTGGGAATAAAGCTCAAGTATATAAATTATGGAGAAGTCCTGGTTGACTAATTGTATTTTTGGAAAATAATTCAGCTCCATCGTCTTCTTGAAACACAAGTGATATAGAATCGGAATCACTCCAATTCTAAGACCACTCGATGATCGAGAGATTCCAAACCTAGACTTGCGGAATGTGGAAACGATGGTAGAGATGGATGGTGAAAGGGGTTGATTGACTCTCTCAATCGGGTGAACGAACCAGTTTGTTTGAATCACACAAAAAAGCTAAATTCGTGGCTTCTAGAGAATAGAAGTGAATCACACATTTGTATTCAAAAGAACAAGAACAATTCTTCAAAGACACAACTTTGAAAGAAAAACGAAAACTTTGTATTAATCAGATTGAAAGGTATCTTACAATGAAACAAAATCTGAGCTTTTATAGGCTCAAAGGACAACGGTCCTAAAGTCTAAAACAAGAAAAGAAATCGCCAAATTAAAAGAATAGAGCCGTTTGAAATAAATAGTGAATTTCTGTCGAATATGGAAAGTTGTTGAGCTTTGTATCTAGACAGCTTGGGAAGGTGGAATTGCGCCTTAAGAAGTCTCTTATGAGCCTGGAGGGTCTCTAAAACACGCGTAAACAGAGTGAGAAAAAGTCGTTGGATTTGGAATGTGCTTGACTCCAAAATGGGCAAGTTTGGTCTCCCTTGAATATGTATGATCAAGTGTGGGATGGTGCACCAGAGGACGTGTCTTGATAATATCTTGTAGGTGTAGAACTCCTCTAAAACGCAACAGTATTGATAAAGGAGCCGTTGAGTCAGAACATAAGTGTGCACGCTCGTAAATAAGGAAAGTGTAGATTTAACTTCCTGTTTCGTGACTTCAACTTGTTGGAATGAATGTGACTTCCTCGGTTAAAAAGGAACCCTCTGATGCTCCTAGATGGTCTCCAAGTCATGGCTTCAGCTGATGAAAAGTCAGGTTCACGTATTTCCTCATTAACAACCGATTTTGGACCTCCTTTGTAAGCTCCATAACTTGGTTTGGTCCAATATTCTCTTTGTTGGTTCGGTTTGGGTGTAATGTTGACTGAACCTGCTGGTTTGGTCATCTCCTCTTCATTTATGGTCTTGATGTCCTCATCACTCTCCTCTCCATGTCTCATGATTCCTTGCACCTTAGTTGATGATGACTTGATGTCCTCATCATACTCTCCCTCTTGAAAAGGTTTTGACCTCGAAATTATATAACCTGCACAAAGATAGAGTAAGTTAGAATCTCCGTATAGATGTGAGTCTAGAAACTTACCTCGGGCAAGATCACCATTGTGATTCAGGTGGGGTTGGATTTGAGCATCTGGTGGCTCTTCTTTGATCAGAAAAGAGGCAATGACTCCTCTGCTACGTTGTGATTTGTTAGGCGTCATTTCTGCCTCCTTTGTGAAATCTCTTATTTCACTTTTTATCTCTAAGTTGTCTTTCCAAATCTCGGTTTGGGAATATGGA